TGAGGGGCACCTAGGCTGTTTCCAGGTTCTGGCTATTACAAATAGTGCTGCTATGAACATAATAGAACAAATGCTTTTGTAGTATGTTAGGGAATCTTTAGGGTATATTCCCAAGAGTGGAATTGCTGGGTCCTGAGGGAGGTTGACTCCCAGTTTCCTGAGAAACCGCCACACTGATTTCCACAGTGGCTGCACGAGTTTGCATTCCCACCAACAATTGATGAGTGTTCCCCTCACCCCACATCCTCTCCAGCATAGTCTATCGTTGGTGTTTTTGACTTTAGCTATTCTGACAGGTGTAAGATGGTATCTCAAAGTGGTTTTGATTTGCATTTCCCTGATCGCTAAGGAGGTTGAGCATGACCTTAAGTGTCTTCTGGCCATTCGAAGTTCATCTGTTGTGAATTCTCTGTTAAGTTCAGTACCCCATTTTTTAATTGGGTTAATTAGAGTTTTAGTGCCTAGTTTCTTGAGTTCTTTGTATATTTTGGAGATCAGACCTTTGTCTGATGAGGGGTTGGTGAAGATCTTCTCCCAGTCAGAAGGCAGCCTTTTTGTCCTACTAACAGTGTCCTTTGCTTTACAGAAGCTTCTCAGTTTCAGTAGATCCCATTTATTCATTGTTTCTCTTATTGTCTGTGCTGCTGGGGTCCTACTTAGGAAGAGGCCTCCTGTGCCTATATCTTGTAGACTACTTCCCACTTTCTCTTCTATCAGGTTCAAAGTGGACGGATTAATGTTGATGTCTTTAATCCATTTGGACTTGATTTTTGTGCATGGTGATAGATATGGATCTACTTTCATTTTTTTACAGGTTGACATCCAGTTATGCCAGCACCATTTGTTAAAGATGCTTTCCTTCTTCCATTGTATACCTTTAGCTCCCTTGTCGAAAATTAGGTGTTCATAAGTTTGTGGGTTAATATCTGGGTCTTCTATTCGATTCCATAGGTCGACTTCTCTGTTCTTATGCCAATACCAAGCTGTTTTCAATACTGTAGCTCTATAATAGAGTTTGAAGTCAGGGATGGTAATGCCTCCAGAAGTTCTTTTATTGTATAAGATTGTTTTGGCTATCCTGGGTTTTTTGTTTTGCCATATAAACTTGATTATTGTTCTCTCAAGGTCTGTGAAGAAGTTTGATGGGATTTTGATGGGGATTGCATTGAATCTATAGATTGCTTTTGGTAGAATTGCCATTTTTGTTTTTGAGTGCTTAAATTTCTGTATTCATCAATACACAGGATATTATAGAAAAAAATTCTTGCTATAACAATATGAATTTAACAGCTCTCACAGCAAGTATTTCTAATGGTCATGATGTCCTTGGTCATTATCTATGATTTCACAAGCATCATTTTCAGCACATCATAGTCATATAACATAGCATATATACATAATATATAATATGTACTTACAATAATATTTGCTGGACATAATTGATCTCATTAATGGATAAAAGATGCAAGTTAAAAGTGACTTTGAAGTTCCTTACAATATAAAGCAAAATGTAAGAGTAAGGAAGCAAAATAAATTTAAAGACATTAAAAGCAGAAAGCAAAAAGTCGTGATGCACTCCGCGCTGCGTTGTCGTGCTGCCTGTGCACCTTTTAACCCAGATTTCAAACTGTGCTCTGACTCTTGTAACTGGCACTTTGGATGTGAGTCAGTATGTATTTAACATGCCAATTTTGTCGTTTACTTCATGAGAGCGCTTGGTTCTCATCTGCAGGGCATGTACTATATGAGCCATCTGACTTACATCTCTTAGAGAAACTACAATCCTAAATGGAACTTGAGTGTGCTGTGTGTTGGTCCCAAGTTCATCAGCCACTGGAATTTTCCACTCTTGCTCTGTAGTTAACCAGCATTCAACTCGACACACTTGATAGAGAGGAGAGAGTTCCCAAAATTCACACATTCCTGACAGCTGTTCTGTGACCATCTCCAGAAGTGAGATCCTTGAAGTAGACCACCGAGTACGGTGAGCCTTGAAAGAGGAAATGAAAGAGGGCTATCATTGCACAACGTACAGAAATAGAGCTCAGGAGTCTCAAAGGTCTAGCAAACCTGGCTTTTAGAAACTGGGCCTCATTTTTTACACTTTCTTTGGACCACGCTATGGAAAATTAGAAAACCAAATGCTATTTCTGAGTTTTATATTAAATGATCATTTGCTTCCGAAAAAGCTTACAACAAAAAGCACTTCAGTCATTTATTATGAAATATGTCTATGTTATAGTTTTTATAATATAATAAATTAGAAAACAAAACAATTTTTTGAAATGGGAAATTAGTCAATAGGAACTGTGTGGGTTAGCTTAATGTACCAAGCAACTGCTATGTTTGTCCAGTAACTGTCTCTCATCTCTACATATCATTGTGCTGTTAGCATTTATCTTAAAATTGAACACGATTGAACCTCGTAGCAGAAAAATTGATGAAAGTGTTGAGTCATAAAGTAGAACTTAAAAATGAGCAAACATGATGCAGCCAGGTGATGGTTTCCCTGAGGGAGTTGGGTGTGACGAGGGGGATGGGTGTGATGAGGGGGATGGGTGTGACGAGGGGGATGGGTGTGACAGGGAAATGGGTATAACTGAGGCATCTGTGAAGATATAAATAGCTGTGGCGTTTTGACTCTTAGTATAAATAGTCTCACAAATATGAATATTTTTCAAAATTTTATTGCTCTGTACATTTATAATTTGGTACACTTTAGGCCTGGCTATTACATCTCAGTGTTCGCACTAGCAATAAAATATTTATTTAAAGAGAAATCTTAATGCCAACCCACGAGGTAAAGGTTGAATATATCACATCTTTTTTGTGTATGTCTCTGTGTGTGCTGTGTGCATGTGTTTGCATGTATATAGTTATGCATGTGCATATGTGTGTGCATGTGTTTGTGGAAGCCAGAAGACAACTTGAAATATTGTTTCTCGGGTATCATTAACCCTGAGATGGTGTCTCACTGGCCTGGAGCTCACCAAGAAGGCTAAACTGGCTGACCAGTAAACCCCAAGTACTCTACTGTCTCCACCTCCCCAATGCTAAGATTATACATGCATGTCAGCATACCCACACTTTTTTTTATGTGATATCTGGGAATCAAATTCAGGTCCTTACACTTGCAATGCAGTTGCTTTATTGACTGAACCATCTTCACAGATCCTTGTCAAGGCTCCTTGATCTGACCTTAGTAAGAAATTACTCATAGAATGGAGATGTACATCTCATGTTAGTAGGTTTTGATTCTGAATTTTAGTTGTGGATACATTTTCTTTCATTTCTTATGCTATCCTTTGTTGGATGATCAAAATCACCAAGGTTTAAAGTTTTAAAGGGTTAACATTAAATACTCCTTCTTTGTCCTGTGACAGAGAATGGAAAGCTCGCTGAAGTCTCTTCCTTGGCACTCTACTGCCCAAACGCAGCTCTGTGAAACAACCTCAGACCGCATGAGAAAATGAGTTGAAAGAGCAAGCTTTCTCACTTCTCAATGCGGAATTTTAGCAACTGTGTCTTGCTGTTGCTGTGGGGGCTAAAATGATGGAAACAAAGTAAGAAGGAAGGGTTTGCTTTGGTCCACAGTTTGATGAAAAGGCCCACCATGGCATCCCAGGAGGCAGTTGGACACTTTGCATATGCAGTTGAAAGGCAGACAGAGATGAATCCTGGTGTCTACATGACTTCCTCCATTTTTTTCTATTTTGTTCAGTGTGAGACACTAATCTAGGACACTGTACTGCCCACATTTAAGGGGAACTTTTCCTCTTCTATTAAACTTATCTGGAAATGCCTCCGTAGCCACACCCACAGACTTGTCTTCTAGGTAACTCTAAATCCAGTGAAGTCGGTAATCAGAATTAACAGTGGCAGCAATTTAGACAAGTCATTTTTTTAAATCTTGAGTTGAAATACCTGTGTTAATTACTATAACTTCCCCTGTTGTGTTGATGTGCCTATCTTGAAATATTTTGCATGTTTGAAATATGTATAAAACTTGAAGCTAAGTCAAGTGTATACTATACATTACTGTAGGTGAGCTGTTACTTATTGTTGTCACTGTCTATATACCAACCGCTCACGTGATTAGAATCCTGTTTCTTTTGCTGTCTTAGCTTCGTTTTAAATTCTTAACAGTCATAAATGGCTGATTTCTGCTTTATTGATCAGACATGCTGGAATGCTTTCTATCAGCAACCAGAACATTTTGTTAAACATCGCTATGACACGCCAAGGAAGTTTTTTTATTCATTAACCAATGAAAGCAACATATATGCAGAAGGAAGGACTTCCCATACAACATAAATGTCTTTGTTTAAAACTATGTTGTTCAACTTATCATTTGATATGTCATTGTAAAGTAGTTTATATCTCCCACCCCTTGTACTACGTGCTAGGTCAAAAATGTTGGTTTTGCTTGTTTTGATTTTTTTTTTTTGGCTTTTGCTTTTGTTTTGTTTTATTTTAAAGAGAGGTAGAAAAAAATAAGAAGTTGGGTGGATATGGAGGTAGGAAGGATCTGATAGGAGTTAGGGGATAAAAAAATATGACCAAAATATATAAATAAAAGTTTATAGAGGAAAAATCTATAATTATGAAAATAATCCCCAACAATCTGAATAAACAAAACAAATGAACAAAACCCCACAGCTATGTGATGATGCTCTGCATGTGACCCACAGATCCCACCATGCCCTTACTCTGGATCCATAGCCGAAATGTGAACTCATTCTGACAGATACATATAACTTGATTGATTAGCTCCTCGCCTTTTGTAACAACTGTCCCAGAGCCAGGATCTTTCTGATGAGAACTCTTTGTTATGCAGATGTATCTTCTGCCTATGCACAATGATATTCAGAGAAACAGAATTTTAGAAGAAATGCACTGTGCTGTTGCACAAGTAACCTTGGAAGTAGAAATAAGATTTCGGGTTGCAAGCTTTAACTTCCTTCTCACCGACAACTTTTCATTTGGTTTTCCCCTCCTAGGCTACCGACAGGGACACCGGAAACTATAGTGCCATGGCCTATAGGCTCATCATACCGCCCATTAAAGAGGGCAAAGAGGGATTTGTGGTGGAAACATACACCGGACTCCTCAAGACAGCCATGCTCTTCCACAACATGAGGAGATCCTACTTCAAGTTCCAAGTGATCGCAACTGACGACTACGGGAAGGGGTTGAGCGGGAAAGCGGACGTGCTGGTAAGTGCACGGGTGAGAGACCTGAGACTCTAGCCCGGGGCAAGTGTTTTAGCTATTAGCACTTTTAATATTACTCTGAAATAGACTTTCTAAAATGTAAATGTCACTAAAATTTTATCAAGATATTTGGCCTTTGTAATTAAAAATCAGAAAACATTTGTGGTAACATGTTCTAATATACATGCTTTTATAACAGACTCTCTAATGATGGTAGAAATGATGCTTCACTAAGTTATATGCGTCTATATAAAATAGTATTCCTGTCCCTTCTCTTAGGCTGAGTACAGTTTCAGGGGCAGATCATCTCAAGGGCAACTGGGTTCTAACTTTAGCCAAAATATCTAACATCAAAGTGCACATCTCTTCTAACTTGAGCATGGAGGTTATTTGAATTTTTCTCTGAAAAAACTAATAAAAGTATAAGAAGAATGATTATTGAGCATTTACCATGTCAAGAAAAAAATCAAGTAAAATCTATCTATCCCCTTGTGTATCCTAATGCACTGTACATCTTGTTCAGGTCTCATTTAGTTAACTTTTACCTACACGTAAACATCAGGGATAAAATGTTTTATTCTTAGGTGGTGGAGAGCCCTAGTCATCATACATCAATTGTTGTATGTTGACAATACTCTCCTTCAAAACAAAAGGCTTCATTGTAGTAAAATCAGGTCAATATTTTCCAAGAAGTCTTTACATATAGGATATTATGGATGACATAGAATTTTATCAAATATAGGTCTATATACCTTATATAAAATAATGTACATTTATCCCTTCTTGTTATTTAAGATATGTACAATATGGGGCTTAAAGGATAAACAATAAGGTCGGTGTACTAAGTAAAAATAATATGTTATAAAATAAGCACAAGTAAATATAAATAACCATTTGTATAAAGTAAATAGGATTTGATAGTGAAACGTGAAAGATGTGAAGTTAATTTTTGTTTGAAATTCAAATTAATTGAAGTCATAAACCATATGCTTAAATCATATGTATTTTCTCTTACTGAACACTTATTTATTTATATATTTATAAAGAAACAAACTCATCTAAAAGAAATCAAAATGTGATATATATATATATATGTGCACATATAATTCTGTTACCAAAAATGATTTTTATAGTAATACATGCAGTCTTTTCAGTTAAGAGAAAGGTCAAATAAAGTCTGTAGGCAGAGGGCGTGATAATGACAGACGCCAAAACCACGATGAAGCTCGGCTGAGCTAGTAAGAGATGGTTATTCCCTCAACCTTCGGAGCAAGAGAGGGAGTGGGGATGATGTGTGGGGTAAGAGAAGCCAGAGGTTTATGTGAGAGGTGGAAACCATGTGAAATACCCTGGAACTATGTGCCAAAGCAGTGGGTAGTCACTGAAGGTGATTAATACGAAGAGAAGGCAATGGTCTTCCCATTAGATAAGGCATGTTTTACTCAATTTCTTTCTGTTGCTTTCTCAAGGGAGGGCTTTAGTTCATTTGGAGTCTTTGCCGACTCTGTTTGGTGTGTGCTTCATGCTACCCACCGACAGTGTGGTCTTTATACTACCCATGTGTGGTCACTTCTCATCCTTTACTACCTCCTCAGAGTCCGTTCTCTGCCCTTGCCATTCCCCCTCTATGCTTTAAGGAAGTTTAGTTAGATTGGTTCCTTATTTCCAGATCTCCTGACTTGTTTTTGTCAATCTCTTTCATTTTTCAAATGGGATTATTCTTTCAGTATTCCACATTCATACTTCCTGAGCTCCATCCCTTAACGATTCTGCCCTCCACCATGTTTCCTCATTTAAATCCATAGTTACCTGTGTTATTGCCCCTAAACTTCTATTACAAACCTCCCACCCTTAATCACAATATGAGATATATCCAGACAAACTCAGCACTCTTGTTCCCAGCAAGACATTCAATCCACCTAATTGAATTTCTTCCTTCTCTAACATTCTCTTATGAGAAACCCACATGTTCCCCAAGCTTAATTACCAAATACATAAAGCTTTATCAATTTAAATAAATGTCTCATTATATAAAACTTAAGTTCCTTTCCTTATATATTCCTTCCTCATGATCTCTAAGGAAACAAAGTCAGAGGATTTACTCCATTGATTCACAGGTCCATTGCAGCTGGAAAGTCCCATATTTTCAGTTTGCATGCTAGGAACACAGAGGCGGGGACAAAATACACTAGTCTAAGAAGGTAGAAGCATCAGAACTGGGAAGGCTAACAATGCAGCACCTGGCCCTGAGAAGCCTTGGAGTATTACAGGAGCAAGTGTCCGTGTGCAGAGTTAATGCATATAAAATATTTGTCCATAACAACATGTCTACTTGGGAGGAAAAACCAGAGAGAGAAAAGTTTTTCTCGTTTTGTGCTTTATGTTAGCTGGGTCCCCAAGCAACTCTATAGTAAGCTCATTGTCAGGGCAGGTGGAATCCACAAGGCTGTTACATCACCCCACCCTCAATGGTAAACCCTCACAGGTGCTTTACCCTTTCTGCAGTCAGTAGAGCGGACCAGTCAATATACAACCGTAACACCATTCTCCCCATTGTACACCCTTGGGAAAGTATCTGAAGCAATGCACACAGATGTATGCTTACTTTCGCTGTCCAGTAACCTTCAGGCCACCGCCTTTGGTTAGCTTACCACATCACTCCTAACTTCTTGCTTTCTTTTCTTGGTTTATTTCGTTCTCATCTGGTAGCATTTTTGCTTTACAAGGATCTGGCAAAGTGTTCTCTTTATTGTCTACTCTCACGGACTTGGCAAGGTTTTTGGTTCCATAACTTTAAAATATTATCCATGTAATAAAAATGCTCAAACCTCAGAGCTTACTCCTGAATACCAAACACTATCTATCTCCCTACCTACCTATCTACGCACCTGTGCCTTTTCAACAATCACCTATCTAGCTATCAAAAACAACATCTTTAAACGTTTTGTATGATGAATTAATATAGTAATAATAATATGTAGTTGTCTCAAGAAAAACATGATTCAATTTGAACTATGCAGGTTTTCATAGAATAGATATTTTTATTTGAAAGAACAACTTAGAGGCAAAATATGTGGGTTCAAGCTAAATATTCAAAAGGCATTTACAAAAAAATGGATGAAGTAAGCCTTTCATTTCGAGAAAAACAACAGGCAGTATTTGCTCCTGATGACAGACAGCACTGGAGCTTTCCAATTCAAATCACAATACTGGAAAGCTTGAGTTCCCCACTGTGAACTTGACAACTCCCCATTATCCAATGACTATGAGATTGTCTGATGAGATTGGTGTTCATATTAAAAATGTTTCTTTTTCATATTGTGTAATGAAATATGTCAGTATTTGAAAAATATGAGCTAATATTATCCAAATGGCAAAGACAACATGTTGAAATGAATTCATCGAGTCGGATACAAAAGTAGACTCTTGTAATTACACTTTTGGAGACGGGCGGCATGAAAAATCAAACGTTCAAGGCCAATTTCAACTACACACAGAGTTCAAACCCAGGCTGGGCTACATGAGACAGTGATTTAAAACAGAAGTAACCAAATATTAATTTGAAGTACAAACAAGAGATCAATTAAAATACAAGAAAAAATGAATAGACTTTCATATTTGTAATCCTTGCTTCAGATTTCAAATGAAATGCAGGGTTGTAGAAACCAACACTTGAATTTTGGTGCAGTATCAAAGAAGAAAACATACAATTACCTAAAAGGCTATTAATCTACTCCTTTCATTTCATGAAAGGTGAGTTCATAGCAATGTCCAGTTGTGAATGACAGTTACAGCCCATGAGAAAAGGACAGTGTGTGCCAACATCAGCCATTGACCTCACGTAGCTGCGGTGCCCAGACCTGCTCTGGGCCACAGTGAGGTCTGCCGTGAGTTTGAGATGAAACTGGATTCTGAAGACTCCGTGGATAAAGTCCAATATCTCCTTGAGGTGTTTTATAATGATTGCATGTTGGGATTGTGTTAAACATGTCTTAAACTATATATTTTCTTTTTCGTTTTTCAAGACAGGATTTCTCTGTAGCTTTGGAGCCTGTCCTGGAAACTAGCTTTTGTAGACCAGGCTGGCCTCAAGCTCACAGAGATTCATCTGCCTCTGCCTCCTGAGAGATGGGATTAAAGTTGTATGCCACCAACACCTGGCTCTTAAACTATTTTTAAATACTTGATTAAAAGCATGATTAAAACAATTTTGCTAACATTTACCTTTTTAATGTGGGTACCGGAGAGTTTAAAATTGCATAGGGTCAGTTATTGGTAACTTTGTGTATATTAGATAATTTGGCAACGTTGAATTTCTTAGGAATAATTGGGAAGATAGAAAAATGGCTCATAAGGAAGAAATAAAAGATCTAGTGAGACTCTCATTAGATTTTTGTAAGTCATACGCTTCTCTTTATTTTGACACTTTTATTAATTTTACTCTATCAGTCAAAGCATCTGCAACAGTGATATAAATGAACATTTATGAAATATTTGAAATCAGCCTGTAGAGAGAAAATAAATTAAGAAATTATATAAGGATATTTTTTTGTTTGGTTGGTTGGTTTTTTTGTTTGTTTTGTATTTTTTTATTTTTTTTCCCGTTAGACTTGTTTATTCAAGTATCCGAAAACACTCTTTCCACTTCCTCCCCTCCTCCCAATACCCTCCCGTTCCCCCCACTCCCTCTCCTCCTCCCTCACCATTCCCAAGAGCAGTCAGGGTTTCCTGCCCTGTGGGAAATCCAAGTTCCTCCCCCCTCCCTCCAGGTCAAGGAAGGTGAGCATCCAAACAGGCCAGGATCCCAAAAAGCCAGTCCATGCAGACGAAACAAGACCCAGTGCCATTGTCAATGGCTTCTCAGTCTTCATTTGGACCTTGAGGGCTCAGTCAGCCACCATGTCAGCCACATTCAGAGAATCCGGTTTGATCACATGCTCGTTCAGTCCCAGTCCAGCTGGCCTTGGTGGGCTCTCATTCGATCAGTCCCCTTGTATCAGTGG